TTACTAACAAATTAAACTAGACTGACTTTAAACACTACATGTATGGTGTAACTAAGGTGGATGAGACGGTGAATGGGATGACGTGTGATGTTGCTCAGAACCAGCAAATCCGAAGAAGCGATTAGTTCTGATGGGAACTGAAGGTGATGTCTTTGCGTTAAGCAGAAGCCACGGCAACCGACCACCCGTCTTGAGGTACTTCCGGGTCACGACAATTTGTTGGCATCTGGTGAGACCTGAGCCTGGGTCTTGATGGTTCAGCTTTTATTCTGAACGGAACCGTTGCAGCAGCTTGAACAGCAACAAATTTTCTAGCTTGTCGTTGGTTCTTTTGGTTGGAGAGTTACAGATTGGCCACTCCGTCACTTTCTCTGGAACACTTTGAACTGGCTTTAGAGATGACTTGGCATAGTTTTATACTTTGGATGTTATGGTTTATGGTCGAATGAAAATTTGACAGAGTTACCAAACACTATCAAAACCACGCCTCCGTCAGATCTGTCAGATTCTGATTGGATCAGTGAAAGTAATGTGTCATGTATTTTAACGCTACGTGAAATCAGTCCCGTTGGAACATTTAAAGTCATAGTACCTTTATATTCTATAGGATTATAATAAAGTAATGAATATTTCGATTTCACAGATCGGTCACATCTTATTTATTGACTAACACTTGGTTGGATTAGCTTTATTAAAATAGAGTTCTTTGATTAATTAAAAGAAAAGTGTCCAGTCTTCATTCTTCTGTTGAGCTGAAAATAAGCAGGTTAGAAGCAAATGCATGAGACCTTGAGACCATATCTCAAGCAAACTAGTCCTGTGTTAGAGGAGGGGGAAAACAGTCATTTCATTCTGTTACATTTGTAAACCCTAGAAATGGTTGTGTGTGAAAATCCCAGTAACTGAGCAGATTGTGAAACACTCAGACCGGCCCGTCTGGCACCAACAACCATGCCACGCTCAAAATTACTTAAATCACCTTTGTTTCCCATTCTAACATTCAGTTTGGAGTTCAAGAGATTGTCTTGACCAGGACCACACCCCTAAATGCATTGAAGCAGCAACTGGCATGCGATTGGTTGATTAGATAGTTGCATTAAGGAGAAGTTGAACAGGTATTCCTAATAATCCTTTAGGTGAGTGTACATTTACTAAAAGGGGAAAATAAGGAAAGGGGGTGGACAATAGCAATACACTAACAAACTTTTCAGCTCTACTGACTCTCAGAAACTATTTTCGACATTCAAAACTCTGCTCAACCCTCCATCTCCACCTCCTACCAACAATCTATAAGCTGACACCTTTGCCTCATTCTTCACTGACAAAGTGGCAGCTATAAGCAAACAGTTTACTCAACTGGCCACTCCTGAACATTCGCTACCACAAACTCCTTCTAGTCCAACCATCTCAAGCCCCACTGCTTCATTTTCCTCTTTTTCCCCTCTCACTGAGAACTGTGTGTCCAAGCTTCTCACGTGCAGCCACCCTACTACATGCCCACTCGACCCCATTCCGACTAAGCTGCTCCAAGCTATTGCTCCTACAGTAGCCGCAGCAGTCACACATGTGATCAACGCTTCACTGACATCCAGTTCTTTTCCCACCTTTCTCAAGCATGCTTAGGTTAAACTGCTGCTAAAAAACTCATCTTTTCCTCCAAATCATGTGGAGAACTACCGACCTATCTCTCTCCTCGCTTTTCTGTCCAAAATCATTGAAAAGGTGGCTTTCAAGCAGATCACAGAATACCTCTCACAAAACTGTCTGCTTGACACTTACCAATCTGGGTTCAAAAAGGGCCACTCCACTGAAACTGCTCCATTAACAGTGACGGAATCATTAAAAGAAGCTAGAGCAACTGCCAAATCCTCAGTGCTTATCCTGCTCGACTTATCGGCTGCATTTGACACTGTCAACCATGGCTTCCTTTTGTCCACACTCTCTAGCATGGGCATCACAGAGAAAGCACACACCTGGTTTGAATCGTACCTCACAGGACGATCATTCGGTGTATCTTGGCTTGGACAATCCTCTACCATGCACCATCTTGCCACAGGAGTCCCCCAAGGCTCTGTACTAGGACCTCTTCTCTTTGCCATATACACCACCTCACTAAGTGAGATCATTCGATCAGATGGCTTCTCCTACCACTGCTATGCAGACAACACCTAGCTCTATCTGTCATTTCCACCAGACGACCACACTGTCTCTGCACGAATATCAAACTGTCTCTCTGACATATCAAAATGGATGAAATCCCACCATCTCCAACTCAACCTCTCTAAAACTGAACTACTTGTCATCCCAGCAAAACCATCCATACAGCACATTATCTCAATCCAAAATTACTTCCTATCTCTGGCTCCTTCAAAGGCAGTTCGAAATCTGGGTGTTGTGATTGATGAACACCTGACCTTTAAAGATCATGTTGCCTCTGTTGCTCGTTCATGCCTCTTTACGCTATATAACATATAAAAGATCATACCATACCTAACACAACAGGCCACCCAGCTCCTGGTGCAATCTACTGTCATCTCCCGCCTCGATTACTGCAATGCCCTTCTAACTGGTCTTCCAGGCTGTACTGGGAGACCTCTTCAAATGGTCCAGAACGCAGTGGCGCATCTGGTCTTCAATCAGCCAAAAAGAGCACACATCACCCCTCTGTTCACTGAGCTCCACTGGCTACTGCTAGCAGCACGCATCAAATTCAAATTGCTAACACTAGCATACAAAGTCCGAGATGGTATGGCTCCCATCTACTGAATCCTCTTGGAAAGGCTTACATCCTGGCCCAGCCGCTCCAGTCATCACAAGATTGTAGGCTAGCAGTGCCTACACCACGCTCAGGACAATCCAGGCTCTTCTCATGCATCGTTCCACAATTGTGGAATGACCTATTAAGCACTACCAGAACAGGGGCTTCCTTTTCAATTTTCAAGAAATTCCTGAAGACCCTGCTCTTCAGAGAGCATCTTCTAAAGTAGCACCCTCCCTGCACCCGTTCCCCCTCTCTACTGTTAATTCCTTGTTCCCTCCTCTCCATGACTGATGTCAATGCTGTTGTTGTTATTGTTGTTGTTAGCCTCAAGGGCAACATGCCGATTATCACTTGTAAGTTGCTTTGGACAAAAGTGTCTGCTAAATACATAAACATAAACATCTGCCACAAGAATGAAATACATTTTACCTAACCCACATATTTTGAATAACAAAATTAGGTTGAGACACTCTTTAGTACTGTTTTGTTCATAATTTTTTTCTCTTTTATTATTTGTTACTACTTGTTTGCTCACTTATGGTTTTTGTCACTTATTTGTTACTTATATTGATTATTTGTAAGTCAGTACATTTGATTCTGTGCTTATTGCTATAAAGTATCTGCACAGTCAAAAAGGAATAAAAAAACTTTTCAGCATGAATATGCTAATGAAATCCTAATTAAATACGATAAGAGACATTATGTAAAAAGAGACGTCATAAAGAGATGTCGAAATGTAATATTTTTATTAGACAAGATCTGAATTAAAAACATTGATTCTAATCTGTTCTCATAAAGGACCAGTTCCATATAGACCAGTGGGGGAGGGGCTTATCAATCACATAATAAAATACAGTGAAATGAATTTAATGTTCTTATTTCACATATAATACAAATATTATAATTATTATTTTGTAACTGTCATGCTTCTATAGAAATAGTAATTTCTCAATATGATGCACCCTGCAGACCATGATAAATATAAATAATGATTTAGTCTGGTTCTAGCTGCAGACGGAAGATATGAGCATGTTCAATCTGCATTAAAAAAGTTACATTGATATTCTTAGATCTATATTTAGTCTGTTCCAACCCCATAAAACATCCTATTGTTTACCAAAATGTGTGTTTCCACTGAGCTGCTAAGTGTTTCCCCTACTTCAGTTGCTCTACTTCACTCATAAAAATTAGTCATTGAATGAACTCAATTTGACTGATGGCAGGTTTTCCACATAATACATTTATTTTGGTTCAGCCAAATCTACATACATCATGACAATTTAATTAAATTGAGTCAGTAAAACACAATTTTTTAAACACATTTAAAAGGAAAAATATTACATTAATAAGATGTGAAAGGTTTTTGTTGGTTCAACTCAATACAGTGTCATTCATTTGAGCTAGATTTTCTTTCGAATTGAAATGATTATGTTAAGTTCAACTAAATCATAATTTTAATCAGCCGAAAACTAATTTAATTATTAAAATAATGACAATAAATTTGTTTTTTTCAACTCAGTTTTATTCACTTGAATTAAAAGCAGAAACAGAACATTTTGTGAATAAACATACATGTCACATGGTCACATTAACATTAACAAAATCAAAGTGCTCACAAAAAAGTGCCTTACATTTGAAATGAATATCAAATCTGAATAGCACACACCTTTTGTATTACTAGGTAAGACTGAAAACAAACTGGAATTTGTAAAATCCGATTTCACGTAAGAATCATTGTGTATATATTTATAGTGTCACTTGCAGGTAGGTTTTCAGCAAATTCACAATGATAACCTATAATAAACATTGCAATCCACACCATATTATGCCACTGAACATTTTAAATAACCCAAAAATACTTAAATACAAATATATATATATATATATATATATATATATATATATATATTTGTGTATATATATACAAATAAATATATATATTTGTATATATATATACAAATATATATATATATTTGTATATATATATATATATATATATATATATATATATATATATATATATATATACATTTTTTTTTTATTAAGAACATTTGTGTTACCAAAGGGGAGGTATTTTAATAAAAAAAAACTTTCAACTTTACTTCTCTAAAACCAATTACATTCAAACTTTTACAAGCTTATAAGAACAGGAACACCAACTTTAAAACACTGGAAGACAAACTCGTCAACATTTGTTTTGTCTCTTTGAAAATCCCAAAAGCAATTAAATGCTGGTTAAAACCATTAAACTTTTTTTGAGCTAAATTCCCACAGTCCTTTTATCTATCTATAGTAGTATAGATTAAAGGTTACATCACTCACAACAGAACAGCAGACAAAAATAGACAACTTCCATTTTTCAAAAAAGAAAAAGAAAAAAAAAAGGTCACAGTTTGAACAAAAGAGATAAAAAGGCCAAAATCAACTTTTGTGCTGGGGTCTTGTTTGCCTAAGCAAGCATCTTCAATTTCATTTGCTGCATCTTTGTACTGAGCCTTTGTCCATCCAGATTCATTAAAATCTTCTGACAAAACTCGAAAGTGTACTTGAGGTCATTTGTATAGCTCAGATCAAGTGCATAAATCAGTCCAAAGAGGACGATGAATGCCATGATGACACTACCGAGGTTGTTCATAACTGTAGTACCTTCAATGACAACTCCAACATCCTCTGGCTCCTGAACGCCTTCTCTTCGGATGGTGTAAATGCCCATGACAGTTGCTGCAGTGGATCTCAACCGTTCATCCTCAGTGGAGGAGGTCTGAAAAACAGGATGTTTCAGGTTTAAGGGCTCTGTCACTTGGAAGGGGACATATTATGCAAAACTCAGCTTTGTATCCTTTTGTGCTGAAACATGGGTCTCTACTGCCTCTATAAACACTCCAAACATGAATAAAACCCATCAATCTGTTTTCTATCAATAGTTTGGGTTTAGGTATTATGTGCCTCCCCTTGGGAGGGGCTTGAAATAGAGCAGCAGCTCCTTAAGTGTCTATAGGTGTAGGTTGTGTGTGTGTGTGTGGGCTGGGTCAATTTCCCTTATTTCATGACAAGTGGGAACCTTTTGAAACAGCTTGTTTTAGGCACATTATTCTGGAAACCAGAAGATTGCTGTAACGCCAGTGACACTAGTCAGTGTCTCGATGCAATCTGCTGGGTTCCTTATATAGAAGACTTTTTACTAATTGGCATAATTAACTGAACTTCATGGAGTGTTTACTTTATTAAGTGCTTTGAGATGACTGTTGTTGTGATATACCGCTATATAAATAAACTGAATTTAAACACTGACAGAAAATGGATGAATGTTTTCTTCACATTTACCGTGTTTATAGAGGCAGTAGACATGGCAGCACCAAAAAAATTAACAATTGAATTTTTGCTGAATCTGTCCCCTTAAAAGGTGCTCTCCAGTATATGTTTCAACAATGACTATTAAGAATAATACATATTTCACAATTATATTGTCTTATTTGAATATATGAGCATTTTGCGTGCGATGAACCTAACTCAAATTGAAGCTATAAAATAAAGTGTGATAAGCGTACCAGATACTCCTTGAACAGTAGGTCTGGATCTTCATTAAAGTAGATCACCAGGCTTTTAAGAGTATGCTCCCTCTTTATGTCGATGTCATCACACTAATGCAAGGGTGAAAAAAAGGGTGAAAAAAATGTAATTGATTGATTGCATTTAATTGATGGGTTTATTATTAGTACTGACCAAACTACTGATCGCCATGATATCCTTGATCTTTTGGCCCTTTGCTCCTTTGCTCCCCTCAAAAATTTTCATCAGCTTGTCTGTTAAATTGTCCAGCTGAGCCAAGAACTTTGCCTGCAGGGGTTTTGTAGTGATCCGCAGGAACTCTGCATTCACCTGGAAATAAAACATACATAAACTTCTTGTTTACTATATTTAAATACAGACTGCTGAATCAACAAACTGAAAGTTGCTAAACATTTGAACCATCAGTGAAGTTTGTCTTGACCTAAACTGATTGTAGCGGAGTTTTAAGTTTGACATGTGTCCTTTTTCGTGATAACAGCATTCAAAGTTAATTTAACCTTTTCTTACAATACTGTTATAGGGGTTTCCCAACAGCACTACTCAGCATGACTCAAATGGTTGTGGTTTGGTTAGACAGCCTTTTCCAACCGCACGATTCGCTATTTTCCCCAAAATTTTTATTACCTGCTTCATTGTGGTTCATGTTGAACATCACCCCCATTATTGTGCTGTAGTGCTCCTAAATTATACTTCACACTGTTTACTGTTTACCTAGTGTTACTTCTGTCTCCAATAAAGATAATGACTGCAACTAATGTCACTTAACTAGTGTTTTTTTTTCTTCACAGATTTGTCAGGGAAAACCAACTATACTGATGTGAGCTGTGTTAACCCACACTGTACTGAGCTGTTTTGGCTGAGTAGTGCTGCTGGAAAAAGGGCTTCAAGTCACCACCCTTACCACTAGGACCACTACGTTTTTCACTAAAGTTTAGTTTAAATTTATTATAATTTGGCTAAAATACAGACAAAAGGTTTTTTTGCTCAAATCTTCAGTCCATCTACAGAAAAATACTAAGTAATATAGTTAAAAGCACTTACAAAACAAACAATACTTAAATTTGTTGATACACAAGCATTTAACTTACTTCACTTTCCTTGAAAAGGGCAGGCCATCTGTTCATGAAATCTCTGATCATCGGCCTCTGTTCCACAATCTCTAGTCGTCTATGGGAGAAGGTTCTTTCCATTTTTGCTTTTATCACTGCTTCATTGTCTCGCTTTTTGATTTCTGAGAGTAGAGCCACTCTTTCAGTTTCCAAGCTTTCATTGCTTTCACCGTTTGGGGGTAAAGGGACATAATAGACCTCTGCCTTTCTTGGTTTTTTGATGTTGGCAGCAGTTTTTCCTTGGCCTTCCCGTTTGTGCTTTAAGGAATTCACACGGATTTCAGGATCACCAAGCCGCCCAAGCTTTGTTCGATAGTTTTGCATTTTGTACTTCAGAGATTGTTTCCATCCCCAAAATCCTGTCTTAGATCCTAGCTGCCCTAAACAAGGATGGGTCCTTGTCAGTGCTGCTGCCACCTCTTCACATTGATAGTCTTTAGGATATTTTGTGTATTTCAGCATTTCTTGAGCTAATCCATCAAGGATGACTCCCTTCAGTTTTATGCCAGGCTTGAAGAGTGTGCCATTTGCCTCATATTCTGCATTTTTCTGCTGGAGTTCCAATTCCACGTCATATGTGAATTTAGGGACCACAAACACATTGGGCCAGGAAAACTGTCTTGTCGGTTGAACATCTGGTGATGAATGAGGGGTTGATGTGTATAGGGTATCATCACTGCAGGATGAAACTAAAGAAGGCCCAGGGCTGGAAGTTCCTTGGCAAGTGTAAACACTGCTGTTTGTGGACGTCTCAACTGGGTACAAAGTGATGAATTGTTCCTCAAGTGTGGGTTTAGGATTGTATATCACTTTCAGTGTGCCTTTATCTTTTACATCAGACACTGAAGTTAAGTTCATAAATGCATTAAAGTCTTCATCCATGTACTGCAAACGGAAGTCTTCTTTCAAATCGAAGAATGTCTTTACCAACATATGGAGTTCTGATAATGTTGCTGGAATTCCAGAGTCCAGATGCATTTTCCTGGAGTCTGACACATCCCCAAAGATGATTCTGAGAACAGGGCTTGCCATTATGGGACAACCTTTACTCTGGAACGGAAAAAGCACAGCCAAATGATGGCATGTTTAATCAACATAAATACAGCTCTAGAGGGATTTTTATTCCAGTTAGGTTTATCAACATCATGCTCTGAAACCACATACATTTCTAAAACCTTTATATGATTCTTCTGGTATGCTAACCCAGCAGTGTTATTTTTATTAACTTTTCAGTGTCACCTAAGAAAGTGTGCTGCTGGGTCTCCTAGAGCTGAAAGAAGCTTCCAGGACGACAATGGAGAGTCTGGCTGTTTCATGCCGGACACAACTATAAGCAAAACCTTCAAAGAGTTTGCTTTCCAGAGCTTATTGTCAGGCATCCTCCAGCAGAGGGGTTGTTCTTTTTAAGAATCTTTACAATCTAAATTTAAGAAATCTTAAAAGCTATGTTATTGAAGAAAACTTACCCTTCACGATGATGAATCTCTTTAACATCACCAAGCGTAGTCCCTCCACAATGTAGTCCGCAAGGGGATATGGGTCTTCCAAGTCACCAAGCTCAATTATGGCCAGCTCTCTAGTGGATGGGGTAGACAGCTCAAATCCACCATAATGCTCCCTGTACCAAGAACATAGTTCCCCAACTATGAAACACAGTTTCTTCTCAACTATGCACAGCTGAATGATCTCATTAAATTTTGGCAGCCCATTTACAGTTCCGTGAACAATAAGCATGCCTTGACTGTAATGCATACCATTGCATGATACCTTCTTCAACAGAGCAACTTCAGAAATAGATGGGTATCTTTCCATCAAAGCAGACACTACTCTGTCATTAAGAACCTCAACGGGCATAACAGAGGCATTTCTAACTTCCAAGGAAGACTTCTTGTAATTAGAGGAATGTGTCTGATGGGCAATCATGAACTGATGTTTAACAGCTAATGAGAAAGGTATGTTTTTGAAGCAGTTTGTATGTCGTGCAACCTGCTTGAAAAAACTATGCTTTGCCTCGAATCGCATGGTCCATAGAGAAATGAGAGGCCCAAAGCATTTAATCATTTGTGGATAGTGCTCCAAATAATGATGCTTTGGCAACAGATTTACATGTGGAAAGAGATCAAGATAGAGCTGCCTATGATCACAGATCTTGGCCTCAAGATAAGCTATGGTTTCATCTGTGTGGACATGGGCAACAACCAACTCAACTATATCTTTAAGATGTAGAATTACCTGCCATGCTGGCTCATCAACTGGCAAAAGTGGCCCTATGATTAAAGGAAGCAACCTCAGCAAGGACCAATTTTCATGAGCATTGCCCCCTATTGTGTTTTTTGAAGAATAAGTATGTGGTATGGCATGAGGTCGATTTGTTTTGTCACCAAATTTGTATGGAAATATCTGAATCAAGGTGTTAAGTTTGTCAAGTGTGAAGTATTTTTTGGCTATTAATAAGCTAATACAACGTGCCAGTTCCGTAGGAACAATACCTTCAAAGATATCGTGGACAATATCTGGGGGATATCCAGTGCTGACATGAAAATGTGAGAGATTCTCTGTCAACACACACTGTTTTTTTACACCACAAACAGCAGTTGCCTTTTCTTGAGCACAGCGGACATGAATTTCATGGACCTCTCTGGTTCGAAGTTGGAAAATCCCTGACATTACATCCTGATTCTGAAATTCTGATTTGTCTCCAGTACAAAACCTACAAATGGATCCACCAGAAAAACTTTCAACAAATCCACCAATACCATGAGCTGAAAGATTGTCTGCTATTACACATTGGACAGAGCCTTTTATAAATTTACCAAGCTGAGACACAAAGACACCATGCTTTTCTAAAATGGTCAAGTCTTGAATGAGAGGCTCCAATACTTTCACGAAACCAAAAGCTTTTGTGTCATCTGACTTGCAAAGTACAGCTAAATAAATTGAAGTTAGTGCTGAATGGGAACCTGGTGGTAAATTCCCCAAAACCCAATAGACACCACAGAGTTTATGCTTTTTACGAGATGTCCCAAGCGGGTTGCATATCTCAAAATCATCAATATAAAGATTTACAGCAATTCTTAACTCTTCACCACAGAAAAAACTGTTCTGCTTGTAGTACTCACCATCTCTAACTGTTCTGTATTCTTTAGAAGTCAATTGCGTGTTTTGACCCTTCTGGGCTACAAGAAGTTCAAGAACATCTTTCTGAGAAAGCAACTGCTGCAGAGATCGTAATAAAGGAATGTACTGATAGGTCTGATTCCTCTGAGCATCTAGTATGTACTCTATTGGCTCTATAATACCAAAATGTGAACGGTAATACTGTTTTCTTTTATATGCAGTAGCAAGAGGGCCGTCACTTGCAATGGCTACGCAAACAGGACTAGATCTGCAAACAATAGAGGAAATCTCATCAATTAAAGACTCTTCAATTTGTAGCTGATTATTTTGAAATACACCAGAAATAACTGTTTTTGTGGCATGTAAAGATGCCGTACTCAATAAGTAATCGAGTTCAGACAACAGTTCATCAACAACTGTTGTTGGGACATGAATGACATTTTCTAACTTCAGTAAAAGGCAAGCAATTCTTTCTTCAAAGTAATCTGAAGTAACTAATTCTACCGGTTCATGACAATCTACTTTTTCTTGAAGAGTATCTGTTGTCCCAGCCTTAAACAAATCATCTTCAGAACTCCCTGACTGAATCAAATGATTACGTATACAAATATTATCTCTAAAATCATGAAGGGAGTATTTGTTGTGTTTTCTGTATTTGTGTGTCTGAAATGTACTGTATATATTAGTTTCAAATTCACAATTTTTAAACAAACATTGCACAGTTTGGTGACGCCTGAGATGTGTATTTATGTGTTGGAAAAAATTTCTCTCTGAAATATATTCTCTGCGTGAGCAAATAGGACACTGAAAAATAGATTGTTCTGATTTGTTTTGTGTTGTTTGTTCTGAATGATTTTTGTACGTGTGATTTAACAATTTAGTCCATGTAGTAAAGCTACATGGACAATCTGAGTACGGACAGGGAAAGCGATTAACACCTCTTATATGCCCATGAGCCTGTCTAAAATGTTTCAACAACAAATACCTGCTAGATAATTCTAAACTGCAGCTTTTACATGTCCACATCCAAGTACCTGAAAGAAAAAAAGACGATATCACTGAAAAATAAGTTTATACAATTCCAAAACTGTTTTACACAAGGGAAATGTGTTACTTACCAACACTTAAAAGTTGCCAGATAACTTGGTGACTTAGTGATGTAAAAATGATGATCACGCTTCAAAATAGATCATGCACGCTGTAAAATAAATCATAAAACATTTTAATTGGTAAAAGAATAAATTCATGATTTTTTTTTTTACTTGTCCCTTACAGTGTTCCCATAATAACATCATGAATATTTCCCTAATATAGGCAACAATAAAAGCTTTGGACACAGATAGAAGTGGCAGAGGTTCAATACAGTCAGACAGAACAGTTATTAGTAGGCATGTTTAGATTTTCTAGTTTAAAGAGAACATGAGAAGAATGTCAAGTGACGATTTGTGAAAGGTTTCACTAATGATAATGTGTAAATGAGAAACATATGTATTTGAAAACAAGTATATCCCCTACGTTACTTGTTTCATGAAAGGTTACGTTTGGAATGCAACAATTTCAACAAAAAGGTGGGTAAAAAAGGCAGTAATTATCCATGAAGAGGTATCAGTTAGATTTATTTCACCTTATGAGAGCGCATGCCGCGACATATGCGCGTTCACGAAGCCGTGTTTTTCTTCAATTAGCTATAAGTTAAGTTAGGGGCTGGAAACGTTTCTGACCCAAAACGCTCCTTCTCTCTGCATTTGTTAGGCGGCATGTCATCGTAGTTCTACACAGAGTCGTTCAATAATACCGGCCTTTTTGAGAACCAGTATAAGGAGCGGGGAAACTTCCGAGGGCAATCCGATATGGGCTCACTGTCCTGGGGAATAACTTTCCGCGATGGCCCGCCAAACTTCACTGGTTCTACAGTGCTCTCCCCTACAAACTGTCATCCGCCTCTCCTTCCAACCCCCTGACACAGCATTTTCTGATAATCTAGGCGGTATCAAGTAATAAATAATGAAGGCTATGTCCACACGTACCCGGGTATTTTTGAAAACGGAGATTTTTCTATGCGTTTGCACCTTTCGTCCACACGTAAACGGCGTTTTCGGTCACTGAAAACGGAGATTTTTAAAAATGCCACTCAGTCTTTGCATTTACGTGTGGACGAGGAAAACGGAGGAAACGCAACATCAAAGGTGTGCTCGTTTTTTGACATCACACTGTGCGCCACGTTATTGTTTCGGTTAAATGAATTTCTACAATGGGGCACAAAATACTGTTACTCTGTGTACTCTATGCAGTGTTTAAATGCTTACATATACAGTTAATGTCCCTCCACACATACGACTCGGTTCTGCTGCTATTCGCCATCTTTGTTTACTATTTCTCGCCGAGTCTTCTAGACTTCTGATTGGCCAACATTTCTACACGGTTAGGAATATATCGCCACCTGTTGCTTTGGGTTTGTTCCTAGCAGCGTTTTACTTCATTTTTGCGTTTACCTGTGAACGGGATTATTTTTTTAAACGAAAAATCTCCGTTTTCAAAACTACCCATAAGTGTGGACGTAGCCGTAATCTTATATAATAATAAATAGGTTTGAACCTCACGGGAGTGCGCATTGTGCTGGATGCAGTTACTCTTCCGGCCACATGGTTAACACCCTCAGTAAACTGTGCCGTGCTTTTAAAGACACCTCAAAACAATACTTTCTACTAGAAAATGGCATTATATAATAATAACGCAGAATACCACATTACTAGATTATAAAAAGAAAACAGTAAGAAAGAAGTTAGCTATAGGACATCATCTTTCATTGAGCACATGGCCGCTTGCTAGCTGCTAATAAGCTAGCACAGGCTCCGAGTAAATAAAGTTGGCAGCTACAAGCACAGGCTCCGAGTAAATAAAGTTGGCAGCTACACAATTTCTCCTCTAAAACAAGGCACTTTTGAAAAGACCTGTCTATATTGTCAAAAAAAATAGTATTCAAGCAGAGAAGAGAATGGTAGCACCACCCAAAGTTCAAAAAACAACTGTTAGCTTCTATGATAAATAGCATTGCCATACATTCAGCTCATAAAGAAGTACACAACTGGATATATGAAAAAAATAATATGTTACCTTACCTGAAAGTGTAGTTTTATCCAAAAAGTACAGAGAGGCCAAGAGCAGCTGCATTCATTTAGGTGATCCTGAAAGAGCGCAAAATGTTCGAAGAGGGCGGACCGTTGTGTAACTCAATAACTTTGTGTTCTTGTAACAAAGACTGCTTTGAGAGAAAATAATTTAGGTTCACCACACGAATAATAATTGCAGTAATGCTGGCGTGCTACATTTGAGTTGAGTGAGATTAAAAAAAAACGTTTAAGCCTAAAGAGGGGCTTGAATTTTTTTCTTTGAGTTTACAAATGCCCAAGTGCAAAAATGTACTCCCCCTACCGCCAGTGCCCCAACAAACTCATTCATTTTGTGTTCAGAATCAGCCTCTGCTGGTTTAGAATAATTTTAGGTTTGCACAAAGAAAATCAAATTAATTTGGTATTTTTTAATTACATTTATGAACAGCTAACAAAATTTGTATGTGTTCTTTGAAAGAAGGACCTGAATCTGTTTTTTGAGTGTTGTTTGTAGTAAACAAGTACAACCTGATTTAAAAACAAAAAACAAAACAAAAAATGGTCTTACACACAAAAGAACCACCAAGTTGGCATAAAATACAATCAAGCATGGATTATATTAGAGCACATGTATAATGGGACATTGTGTTTGTGGAATGGTGTGTTTATTTATCCTCCTGTCTCTCCAACTCACCAGCCTGTAAAATTATGTGTTTTTCATCTGTGTGGTGTGTTAGCCACATGCTAAGCCAAAAGGAGGTTGCCATGCTAGTGTTATATCTTGCTTTTAGCTCAGTGGTTTGTGTGAGCATGTGTGTGTGTGCGTGTGTGCATGCGTGCGTGCATGTGTACACACGTGCATGAGATAGACACTGTGAGAGATGCAGCGAGGGAAATTACTGTTGCTATTGCAAACTTCAAAGTCTCTACTGGTGTTGTGCCAGGTCAGCATGTTTACACAGGAGAATTGGTGTTGGGCACACACACACACTGAGTCACACACACTTTAGTTCACGCACACGCATAGACACATGTCATGTGTCTCGTGAGCATGCACACCGCCCAGAGTGCATTGGTCTTATCTGTGGTCCCTGTGAGTTAGGAGAGGCATTTAATCAGGGTCTCTGTGCAGCTCTTGGCATCAAACCGATTCCACCATCTCCTCCCTCCTTCCCTGATGTCTTTCATTCACTCTCCCCTCACACTGACAGATGGAGTTGGCAAAATATTGCCCTTCCGTAAATTTTTGTTCCACAAAAAGTTAAAACTGGATCATTGTAGGCTTAAAAATACTTTTGGCAATCATTTGCTAACTTTTCCGTCTACTTTTGGGCAAGTGAAACCAGTACTTCAACACTAAAGCCAATGATTTAAGCTCATTTGTGTTGAGTCAAAAGTCCATTGCCAGTAATTTTGGTCACTCCTAAAACCCACACCTGTGAGATCATTGTTCCTATTACAGAGTCATCACACTAAAGATGTTTTCTCTGTCAGAAGGTCAGTAATCTGGATGACTGTTGGACTGTTTTTAGAAGTTTTCCACATAGCAACAAGAAGGGAAGATGCAGTGAGTCCTGAAGGGACCCAGTAACAATCTATCTCTTACAGTCAGGATGAGGAATGATTGGGCAACTTGTTGATAGCAACTTGAGGCTAAAATTTTGCTTTGTACTGGAATGAGGCACATTGACAATATTCTGGGTCACACAAGCAAAAAAAAAAAAAAAAAAATTACTTTCTTGCCACATCTCTGAGTTTCATGGCTGTTGCCAGTTATAGATCAGCACCAGAAGATTCTAGATTGCAAGCGTGGAGTTGGCATTTACGGTAGGGAGCATGCACTACACTTTTTACGGTATTATTCCTCCAGCATTGGAGGAAGTGTGGTGGTTTGCCATCTTGCTGTTGGCTTGCTTGTATACTTCCGAGCAAATCATTAAGAAAAGTAAAACACCATAATTCTATTCACACACACACACACACACACAAACACACACACACACACACACACACACACACACACACACACACACACACACACACACACACACACACACACACTTTATTGTAAAATATTTCAGGGGTACAAGAAAAAACTTCTGGGTCACTCCCGTTTACTGGCTTCAGTCCCTTGAACAACTCTGGAGCCTTTGCCTGCCGGTGTTGGATTACAAACACCAACACTGCAGCATTAGCTCAGCGCAGACTCGGCAACCTCACAAACTTACTGATTGTAAACAGTAACTTCAACCCATTGTAATTTTGTTAAAGGAGAAAAACTGGCAATGGTTGAACTGACAATGTTTTTAATGTAATACTGTAACCTTCTGTAACACATATGCTATTAAGTACAGAGTAATAAACTGCTGGATCAGATCTAGGTTCTGAAGGAGGGGTGAGTGACTAAATGGAGAGCCAGAGACTGTGACCTTTAAATGGAAAAGCCGGCAAATGTAATCACAACAGATAAATAACAAAGACGAACAATACACTGATTGCCACTTCAGCTTCTTGAGGTATGCTTTAGGATCACCCATTTTGAATTTGTACTTTTACCCTTTGGGTTAAAGATCTAATAAATGTTTATTTCTAAATTTCTAATCTAATTTTGAGTGTCTCGATTGCAAACTTACTTTGGATTTTGCCCTTTAACTTATGTTAAATTTGGAATTAGGTTCATGCAATTCATTCCTTTCATTTCATACAATTCATTCCATTCAATTTCCCAAAAAATGGTCAAAAGGGCCATCATTTGTCTCACACAGCAACAGCTCCATTATGATTCATGATGCATTACATCTTATTGATCTCTTACCAAAGAAAGCCTATTAAGTTTAAGCTAAGTATGCAGAACTGTAGCTATTGAAAACTGCACACTGTATTTTTGCAGTATGAGGAGGAAACAATATACGTTTAGTGAATAAAATGTCTAAATC